GGTGAGTTCCCGATAGAACCTCCCCATTGTCTCAGTGTGTGGGTGCACCCCTCGCGGTCCTGAGTTCCTTGCTCGTGCTCTCTCTCCTTCTGCTCCTGATTTGGACCTTGGGATTTCAGTCCGGTGTTCCAATGTGGATCTCTGTCTCTGTCTCCTTTCATCGCCTGATGAAGGTTAATATTCAGGAGGATGCCTATATGTTTTTCTTTGGATTCTCCTTCTTATTTAGCTTCTCTAGGATCACTAATTATAGGCTCAATGTCCTTTATTTATCAGCCTGCCTTTTCTTGAGGGGTAGCCAGCATTTGTAGCTAAGAAGCTCTGTTAGCCAATTTCTTGCCTTTGTCACCTCCAGAAATCTGTTGGCTTTTTTTTCACATCCTCATTTTATCCACAAACTGGCAGCGGTGGTTCTGATAGCATTCTCACAAGAACAGGTGGCCCTGCTGTCCATTGCGGGGTCTCTTCAGAGCCTTCATGGGTGGCCCATCTCTATTTCTAGTTCCCGAGATGCTAGATCAGTCACATCTTAGTCTTTTTTTTTTTTTTTTTTTTTCGAAACAGGGTTTCTCAGTAGCTTTTGGTTCCTGTCCTGGAATTAGCTCTTGTAGACCAGAAGGGCCTCGAACTCGCAGAGATCCGCCTGCCTCTGCCTCTGCCTCCCGAGTGCTGGGATTAAAGGCGTGTGCCACCACCGCCTGGCTATATTTTACTCTTTTCAGCAAGATTTCCTTGGTCCTCTCATAGGGTGTTCTTCCTACTAGTGCTTGCCGATTTCTTTTTGGGCTCTCTCTCTCTCTCTCTCTCTCTCTCTCTCTCTCTCTCTCTCTCTCTCTCTCTCTCTCTCTCTCTCTCTCTCTCTCCCTCCCTCCCTCCCTCCCTCTCCCTTTCTCTCTCTCTTCTTTTCTTTTGTTTCTTTCTTTCTTTTTTTTTTTTTAAAGACAGGGTTTCTCTGTGTAGCCCTGGCTGTCCTGGAACTCACTCTGTAGACCATGCTGTCCTCAAACTCAGATCTCAGAGATCCTCCTGCCTCTGCCTACTGGGATTAAAGGTGTGCACCGCCACCACCCAGCTCCACTCACACTTTTCAACATTCTGCTTGGAAATCTTTTCAGCTAAATATCCAAACAGACTACTTAGCAGTTCTGCTTTCCATCCCACGGTGAAGCACATTTAGCCAAGTTTCTGCAATTTTATGGCAGAGTTTGTTGTCCAATAGCATGCCCCTCACTTCCTTCTGCAACTTCACTGGGAGTACCTTTACTGCACTTTTCTGCCAGTGTTTGTGAGGGGAACAGTGTGTGTGTGCTGTGTATTGTGTGGTATGTGGGGTTGTGTGTGGTGTGTATGTGTATGTGTATGGTGTGTGTGTGTTTATGTAACGTGTGTGTGTGTGTGGCATATAGTGTGTGTGTGATGTATGTGTGTGTAAGTGCAGGCACACAGCACACACACCACGGTGCACATGTGGAAGTCAGAGGACTCAGCTGTTGGCCCTTGCCTTCCATCTTGGTTGAGACAGTTTCTTGTTTGCTGCTGCACACCCCAGGCTAGCCAGCTCTCAAGCTCCTGGCGATTCTCCTGTCTGCCTCCCATCTCACCACAGGAGCACTGGGATTGCAGGCATGTGCGGGTTCTGGGGATTCAAACTCAAGTCTTCATGCACCTGCTTCCCCATTGAGCCTCTTCTCTAGCTCCTCCACCAGTCTTTTGTTGGTGATAGGAATTCACTCTAAGATAATATAAACTTCTCTTCTGTTTTTCTTTTACTATTTTTATTTTATTGACAGCATCTCACTACATACCCCTTGCTTACCTAGCATTTGCTATGCAGAGCATGCTGGCCTCGAACTCACAGCGATCCTCCTGCCTCTGCATCCTGGCTGCTGGGATTAAAGGCATGCACCACCATGCCCAGCTTCTCTTTTTTTACCTTCTCTTTCCTTCACCAAAATAATTTTGAAGTCCCCATTTCTACCAATGAAATCTAGGATTTTCCCCTCATTATTGACCTCGAAATTCTCTCGGCCTCTGCCCATTTCTTGATTCTGAAGTCTCTTTTATTTCTTGGCACCCCATTTCCTAGTATATCAGTCTTTGTAGGCTTCCCAGGGATCCTGAAACAAAATTCACCATGTGCTATGTAGCTTAAAACTCTTTTGTGCATGGAGTCCAAAATGAAGGTACTGTCAGGGCTGGTCCCTGCTAGTGGTGCTTAGGGAGGATCCATCCACCTCCTCCTCCGTGGGGAGCCAGCTAATCAGACTCGGCCTTTGTTTGAATGCAGAAGAATCATCCTAGTCTCTGCTTCCGTCTCCATCACCCTCTTCCTGCGCTGTGTTGCCATCTTGTCTGTCTTTTGCAGGGACAGTTGCTACTGGATCCAGGTCAGCTCTGGATGAGCTCATGTTTCCAAATAAAGTCACATTTGCAGGCACCAGGGGCCAGAATAAACTTGACATATTTTTCTGGAACCATTGTTCAGCCCTCTATGGGCAGGCTACCCCCAGAAGGACACTTTTAGAACTTAGAGAGCTGGGTGACCTGGTGGGGCGGGGGCGCATGACAGAGCCTCGTTCCCTCACTCCAGCAAGAGCGCCCCAAGAGTGCTGTGTTCTCGGGAGAGGGCAGGGTGAAGATGAGTGTGGAGGAGCAGATGGACCGGATGAGGCGGCATCAGAGCGGCTCAGTGAAGGAAAAGCGGAGGAGCCTGCAGCTCCCAGCCAGCCCTGCCCCTGAACCTAGCTCCCGGCCTGCCTACAAAGTGGTAATGTCCCCTCAGCTGCCCACAGGCCTGCGTCCACCATCTGTCCACCCTGCTGCTCTCGGCCCATGGCCAGCCTGGACCAGGGAGCTTGAAGAGAGAGGAGACTGGGGGCTCCTGGGATACCCCCCTCACACACACACAGAGTTCCTTCAGCCCATGTTTCCTCTCTGTTTAATGAAAAGGAATGCCAAGAAAGAATGACGGATGCTTTTGCTAAAATGAAGTGTTCAAAAATTCATTTAGTGTTTAAGAGCACTCGCTGCTCTTGCAGCGGAGTGGAGTTCAGATCCTGGCACCCAACATCAGATGCATCACAACTACCTGTAATCCTAATTACAGGAGATCCAAAACCCTCTTCTGGCTTCAGCAAGCACCCACATACACATACTATATATACACGTGCTCTCTCTCTCTCTCTCTCTCTCTCTCTCTCTCTCTCTCTCTCTCATACACACACACACACAATTAAAAAGAAAAATTGATCTGGTAGAGAGTAGTGCACAATCCATCATGTAGAAAGAGCCATCATTTTTATGCGACTCTGGGCATCTTGTATATTGAGCATTGGCCTGGGTGCCCTGAAGACAGCCATGGTAGCTCCCTGAGCGGTGCTGTCACGGAGCCATCTGTATTCCTTCATTTAACACCATCAGACAGCAATGATTTCAAACTTATTCCACCCTCTACCCCCCCGTTTTATAGAAAGGGAAGTCAAGTCAAGAGAGACAAAGAGCTTTCTGGGTCTCACAGCTATAAGTACAAAGGTGGGCGTAGCATCTGCTTAACTTCTCTTTACAGTAAGTTTCCGGAGTAGAGAAGTCTGATGCAAATCCTTCCTTCATACAGTTTCGCTCCAGGCGATAGATCAGAACTTCTGTAACATGAAACTATTAGAAATCAATAAGGGACACACTGCTCCTACAGCTCCAGACAGGTGTGCAGTGCAGACTGTAAGGACAGGAGCAAGCACTGACAGGAGATACCAACGAGACTGTACCTCTGGGCCTTGCTGTAGGCAGGTGTCGGGGAAGCAGAGAGGAAGGAGGCTGGCTCTGCAGTGCAGGCCAGTGGGAGCCTGACCAAGGATACGGGAATAGTAAGAACTGCCTGGAGGCAGACAAGGATAGAAGTGATCTGGTCATGACAGGGCTATCCCCCAGGTGCGGCGTCATCGCAGCATTCATGAAGTGGACATCTCCAACCTGGAGGCCGCCCTGAGGGCCGAGGAACCTGGTGGCCAGGCCTATGAGACACCACGGGAGGAGATCGCCCGGCTTCGCAAAATGGAGCTGGAGCCCCAGCACTACGACGTGGACATCAGTAAGGAGGTGAGTGGTCCAGGACGGGGCTGAGGGGGGAGGGCTGCCAGGGAGGGGCTATAGGTGGTGACCTGGCCAGGGAGGGGCTGTAGGTGGTGACCTCAGGCCCTCCACAGCTCTCCACTCCAGACAAAGTCCTCATTCCTGAACGGTACATTGACCTGGAGCCAGACACTCCCTTGAGCCCCGAGGAGTTGAAGGAGAAGCAGAAGAAAGTGGAGAGGATCAAGACACTCATTGCCAAATCCAGGTGATAGGCCTAGGCGAGCCTCCATCCCGCTGCCCTCCCTGCACCTAGGTTCCGTAGGCACTAGATGTCTTGGAGGCTCCGTGCCTCCCCAGGGTAGAGAAAACAGACGCAGTGGCCAGGGGCAGCTGACTATACCCAAATATCTGACCGAATGAGGTTGCTGCTGCTGGACCCCAGAGAGACCTACTGGGCTTGTGCACAAAATGGAGGGTGCCTCTGCTCATCCTCCCCTGCTTCAAGGCTGCCCCACATGTTCACTTGAACCTTTGAAAACGTTGAGCGTAGGGATCCCAACAGTCTTGCCAGGGTCTCCCTCACTCCACGGCCAGCCTTGCTGGGCACCAGAGGCTGCACACTCAAAGGTCCCTGGTCCTCCCCACCAACCTCAGCTGCAGACCTCCCCCAGCCAATTGGACTATGCTGTCCCTCCCTCCATGTCTGTGTGTCTGTGCCTCTTCAGTATGCAGAACGTGGTGCCCATCGGCGAGGGGGACTCTGTGGACATGCCCCAGGACTCAGAGAGCCAGCTGCAGGAGCAGGAGAAGCGGATTGAAATCTCCTGTGCCCTGGCGACCGAGGCCTCCCGCAGGGGCCGCATGCTGTCTGGTGAGAGGGGCTGGGCCTAGCTCGCTCCGCCAGGGACACCAGCTGACCAGGTGTAGGGGAGGAAGTGCAGTACTGCCAGGGGGGCAGGCTTGGAGAGACACCAGGCCTAGGAGACCCTCAGGGTCATAGTGAGCATTCACTAAGCCGCCGGGTTTGTGCTAGGCACGGTACAAAGGGGCCGGAGTGGCTAACCTCCAGGGGCTCAGCTCATGATACAGCCACTCTATAGAGGACCGTTCAGAGGATGCAGGGAGCTCGGAGTCATCTGACCCTGGAAAGACACGGAGAAGTGGATGGAGTGTCCTGGGGAAGCACAGGCGTGTCTGTCCCCCTGGGTGAGAAGGCTAGGTGGTCAGGTTTCCTTCTGCTTCTCTTCCTCACTAAGCGCAAATAGAAGAATGGAAAGATGACCAAAGCAGCCGAGCATTGGAGAGCCATTCCATCTCCACTTTGGCTGTTGACCCGAATTCACTTTCTAGCTAGGAAGAGATGAGGAAAAAGTGGTGTCACACTAACCCAAAAGTCCCACTTAGATACCAAAGTGTTGAGGCCACCAGGACTAACTTCCACAGGCTAGAGTAGCATCCTGGAAGACGGGAATGCAGCTGGACTTTGAATGAAGGGGGATCTCTCTGAATGGGAGGGGAAGGTGAGGCAGTAGTTAGCTCATCCCCGCATAGCAGGAACATTTAATTTTGTTTTGTTTTTGAGACAGGGTCTGTCCTTGTAGCCCAGCCTGGCCTGGAACTCTTGATCCTCCTGCTTAGGCTCCTGAGTGCAGGGATTATTGGCAGACATCACCATGTTCACCAAGTGTGAACTTTGGTGGTCACAGTTAGGAGGAATGACATGAAATCAGCCGTGGCTTAAGGTGACCAGTAGAAATGAGAGAGACCAGGTTACAGGCCCCAGCTGCAGCGGTCCTGACGAGGCAGGAGCAAGCAGATAAAGTTGGAATCAGGAGCGCCGTGGAAGGGATGGTACTTTGTGTTGGTGGCAAACAGCTCTCAGAGCCTCCATTTCCTCACTGGTAAAGCTCAGAACACCTTTCTTCAGTTCAGACGGAGCCAGGGTCAGAAGCAACAGATGGCAGCCCCTGGCCCAGTGCTGGGGTTTTAGTGCTGTGGCGATGACCGCGCGGCAATTCTGTAGACCTGTTCGAGTCAGTAAGAGCCGAAGTTGAAATGGGAACCCTCTGTCCTGTTTCTAACTTTGTATACGCACATTACAGCAGGAGGGTTGTAAGTCCCAACAAAGAAGACAGCCGTTAAACCTCGAGAACCTGCTGTCATTTAGAGAGTGATGAACTTCGGGGTGAAGGACTCAGGAAGCTCTGGAGGCCGCAGGCGCTTCAGTGATGGGCTCTCCACAGACTGGCACTGCCAGTCAGGAGGGACCAGCTCCTTTCCTGTAGCTAAGGCAGCAGAACCAGTTTGGCTGCGGGAAGGGAGGCCTCCTGTGACCTCTCCTTACTTACTTTAGGTACAAAAGAAATCTGAACCTGAATTGAACTTGCACCAAAATTCCACATGCTTGGGCAAAAGTCACTTCCTATTTCAAGAGGGCAGCGCTTAGGATCCTTAAAAACTCCCTCTGGCCTGCCACACCCCTGGCTTTCTCCACTGCTACCCAACAGTTCACGTTTTATGAGAACAAACCTCTAGGCCCATCAGATTTTTCCTGACAGCAATTCAGGGTCTGTGTGCTGAAAGCAAATGGTCACTGCTTTTGCCAAAACCCCCAACAATTCAAAAAATGGCTATGGTAGGGCCAGACCTCAGCCCTAGCCCACTGTCCCTGCTATCATTGGCCCATGGCCCAGAGGCCCCAGAGCAAGAACTAGTCCTGGGCACATGCAGTGTGGGCATAGGTTCATACCCAGGACACTAGGAGGAGGACAGTTGGGCGTAGGTCCCGAGAACAGCGGGCATGGCGTGGAGAGCTCAAGGGGTGTGTGTGTCGTAGACCATGTAACTGGTGAGGAGTGCTCTGTTTTGTGAGTCTACCTGGCTGCTACACGCTGAATCAGTGTGTACCAGATGAGAAGATGCGGCCTTTCTGAGTCTTCGCCCCTGGCATAGATGTCATGTGCAGTATCTGTATCCGGTGATGTTTGCAGATGTGCGTCTGTGTGTGTCTGGATGATTGGTTTGTAGGTAAAGGAATCTTTGAGGGCAAATGTAGGTACACGTATGTGTGTGCGTATGTGTGAGTATATGGTGTGCGGGTGGAGGTGACATCTGTGAATGTGTGTATTTATGTGTGACTGGCTTTACGTGTGTCAGGAATGCTGAGGCCTATCCCTTATGTTGTGCACAGTGTACACCCTGTGGCACTGTGAGTGAGTCTGGGTACCAGGTGAGAGGTGGATGCACTCATAAGTGTGTGGCTACTCACGCTTGCAGGTGTGCATGCACCGTGGTACCACATCTATTCAACATGGACTTGCTACACATTCGAAGTTAGCTTGTTTCAGAAGATATAGTCTTAATATATATTTAGTGTGTCTATTTCCTTAAAGAGATAATATTCACATAACAGCCTTTTCCTTCCTCAGTTACTGCTCTTATATTCCTGACCTCTGTTGAAGGCACGCTCCAAGGAGCTGCCATCTCTCTGTGTGGCTCTCTCTGTAACCTAAGTGTGGTCTGTAACTTAAATGTTATCTTTACTTTTCATAAAATGGATTCTCTTCACTTGTTAGAGCTACACAGGGGCTTTCAACTCCCCTCTTTCTCTCCCTTTTCTGGGCCCCATTTCCAGTCTGTGGGTCAGAACACCCACAGGTCAACACCTATTAGAACTGTCATGACAGTGACTAGACTTCACAGGAGTCACTAGGCAGCTGTTAGAACATCTGTTTTGACATCCCTGGGTGCTTCCTTGCCTATGTGTTGGGTTTTTGACTGTTTTAGTGTCTGAACATAGCCCATACGTGGCCCCCCTTTGGTGAACCGGGCATGCCTATGAATGTGTTGGAAAGTATTGGTGAGTGCTTTTGCCTCTGATGTGCCAAGGATGTGGGCTCATATGGAAACACTGAGGCTTGAAAGTGTGCGAACACATATCTAAGTTGTGTAAAATGATGTAACCATGTGGAGTTGTCAGATCCCAGGCACCAACGACATTATGTGAGGTAGACATGCTCTCACGTCTGCTTGAGCAACCTGGGCTGTGAGCACACTGGGGCCCTGCCCATCGCAGAGGAGCCGCGTGGGCCCTGTGTTGAGCACACTGGGGCTCTGCCCATCGCAGAAGAGCCGCGTGGGCCCTGTATTACACAGGAGTCAGGGAAGGTGATGCCAGGGTGGGAAGCAAGGACTTGGAAGTTTAGTGCCACATCCTGGAAATGCAGCGTGGCTCCTGGCTGAGGTCTGGTTCTTCTCTGAGCCCGAGCGAGGACATTCTGCCATCCTTCTACCTTGGCAGCACTGAGGATGTGCAAGAGTCTAGTGGCCCCTTAGAGGACTCCTTGTCGTTGTCTTTCCCCTTTGCTGTTCTTCACAGGGAATCATGATGATAGAGTAAAATCTCATCAGTTCAAGCGTCACGATTATAGAATTCAACACGATTTTACGTGAGTGGACTGAGGGTCCTCTGCTGGGCCGACGCTCTCATGATCATGGGGGTTACTTCTGAGCCCCTGGTCACACCGAAGTTGGCGTAGATGGCTTTATGCCGATGCTCTTTGGAAATGATCATCATGGTGACTGTCCTGTTTCTCCGTTAAGTGGGGACCCGGCGTCGTGGACTGATGTGATTTTGTTGCACTATTAGTCGTTATCATGATTAACTGCCGTGGTTGGTGTGAAGTGACACTCTGTCTTCATTCTGTCTGCACAGAGTAGAATTTGACTCTCCCAATGTGAGAGTCCCAAAGGGAGTCTTTGTCCCAGAATGGGGTGCAGCCTCATGCACCATCACCCTGGTTCTTAGCAGAGCCTGGGTTTGGCCCGGTCTCCTCCGGGGCCTCACTATCCTCCATTGCACCCTGGGAATAAAGACAGCTTTGCCTCTGCTTGAGCGAACTCCCCAAGCCAGCTCTTCTCTCTCTGCTTGCCTCCCTGCCTCGCTCCCTCCCCAGGGAGTGGCCTCGCTTGCTCTGAGTGCCCAGTCTCCTCCCCAGTACCCTTTGTCTTCTATTCACTGCCCTGTTCATTTCTGTTTCCAGTGCAATGTGCCACCCCAAGCCCTCCCACCTCCCCTGCTTCCCCGACTCCACCAATCAACCCCCTACCGTCTGAACGCCCACGGGGCGCCGACAGCAGCCATACCATGCGGGTCTGAGCTCTGACGTAAGCACTTTTCTACTGTATTTCATGCACCCCAGGGAGGGGGGCCCTTCCCTTACCCCCCCCCGAGTCATGTACACCCTGTCATTGCTTCACCCCGGTGCCCTGTGTGCAGTGTCCCCCTCCATTTGTCTGCTTGAGCCACCAATGTCTCCGAGCGGTCCTGGCTGCAGGTGGCTGCCCTTGCTGCTTCCTAGATATGACCATGCTCATGACTCTGCTTCTCTGCAAGCAGAAGGGAATGGTGCAAAGTTCACACGTGTCTGCTGCTCGGGGAAAGTATCTCCCTGGCCCCCTACCTCTGTACCTGCTACCCTATACTTCCCGTCTGCTAACCAGCTTCCGTCTCTTGAGACCCATGGCAATCCTGCCACAGAACCCTAAGAAGCCCCTAGAAGCTGTGTCCCTACTCCCGGATGTAGCTGAGCACAGTGCTAGAACCTGGCTTTGCTCTTCCTAACCCCGCCCCCAGCAGCGATAGCCTTGTGTTAGGAACAGGAAAGAACCCAACTTGTTACCCTCCCTTCCGCTCTCTCCAGGATGGGGAAGGGGTGGCTTCTCAGCTCCCAGTCATGAAGCTTCCTACTTCCCAGAGAAGCTGGCTGTAGCTGTAGCCCTGGATTCTCGTCTCATCTGTGTCTCTGTTTTCTAGTGCAAGCCCTGGCTGAGGCCAATTCTGTGATGCTCCACAGAGCCACCTTCTGATAGCACACCTGGGACTCCGGCTCCTCATCCTGGCCCCCTGCCCTTGCACCCACGGCACCCACGGTGGGAATGCCTTGGGGAGCCAGGCTGGGATCCAGGCCTCTTCGGAAAGGAGCATGGATGCCTTCAAATCTGCTGCCCTCGCCCTGAAGCCTGCACTGTCATGCTGTGGATGGCAAGGCCAAGGTGTCAGCCTCTCTGATGCCCCGGTCACAGAGAGCTCAAGTGCAGTTCTGGATGGCATTGTGTGGCCCTCCCGCACCGTCCCCTGATGGAGACCGTGTCCTGGTGGAGAGCATGCCCTCAGCTATGGGTGAAGACTGGAAGTGAAGACAGGACAGACTGTATCCCTTGGAACCCGCAGCACAGTGAGAGACAGACTCCTGCCATCGTCTCCTCCCCTTCAGTCCCAGCTGCCTCAGCGAGGCCCAAGGCTTTGACACAGCGATGCTGATGAGTTCCCTGGAGACCAGCCGCCCTGCTTGAGCCAAAGAGAAGATGGGGAGTGCTAGGGGAGGCCCCCGGGCTCCTGGAGGGGTCGGGTATGGTATGGATAGAAGACAGCAGGTCTATGCAGTGTCTGAGGGCAGGTCAGAAGCAGGAGCAGACGGAAGAAGAGAGAGGCTTGGAGACTGAAGGAAGGGAAAGTCAGACGCTTTCCACAGGCAACGAGGATGTAAGGAAGGAGGGAAATGGAAGGGAGAGTAGGAATGGCTTCCCTAGAGTGGAGCCTCCGGTTCGTGCCAAGTCGAGGGCCTGACTGTCACCCCTGTACTTCACATCTTCCTCAGAAGCAGATGGCCGCAGGAGGACTCGCTAGGCACACAGCGGCCTCAGCTGAGGTGCTTGGTAGCAAGGTGTGGAGGAAGGGGATGTTGGGTGAGACAGCCTGGGAGGTGGTCCATCTGTGTCGAGTCCTGCTGTTTGTATCTCTCCTAGGGTCAGGGGCAGAGAGGACTGTCTGACTGTCTGTCCTGACTGTCTGTCAGCCTTGGAGCCTTACCTAGCCAGTTTCTTGACCTATTTAAACCTGGAGAGCACTGTGGGCCAGCTGAGGGTTAACCCTGGGCGGAGGGAATGTGAGGCCAGGTTCTAGGTCCTTAATCCTCATCTCAGGCATCCAGAGCGGGACCAGAGGCTGGGTGTTCTCACAGCCCACCTACCCAGGGAGGACAGGCCAGGGAGAGACAGGAGCAGAGCATAGTCTTCCTCTATTCCACCTCCTGTGAGTGAATGTAGCCAGAGTGCAGTGAAGGAAGGCTGCAGACACTGATCTCCAGCCCTGCTCTGCAAGACTAGCCCAGAGACTTCAGCCTGAGCATCAGTGGTCCCAAGAAACAGCCGCATCATCTCCCATCTATCCATCGCTGCTCCTTCCTGGGCTGGGACAGTTACTGGTTCATATGCAAGTAAAGATGACAATTCATCCAACAAATACTAGTTAAGCACTTTTTGTGTATTAGGTACTGCTCTAGGTGCTTAGCATATTGTCTTGCTTCTGAGAGACTCTGGATTGGGAGGATTCCACCCGTAGTCACTTCTTTCAGGCTTCTGGAAAGTGCCGCTTGGTGACATTCCCTGTCTACACAGTCCAAGAACCCAAAACCTGTCCTTTCTTCCTTAAAGGTGACAGTGGGATTAGCTCCCAGGTTAGCCTCTCTCTCCATACCCTGTTCCACAAGAAACAAAGTTTTTAGGGCTTCCCCTGTGTTTATTTCTCCTTTTTTTTTTTTTTTTTAAAAAAAGTGGTATTTTTAGAAATACACATTAAATCCCAAGAAATGTCTGCGCCTTCTCCACTACTCTCACCTGTATTTCCTTCATAAAGCTGGCTCTTTATGTTGCTTTACATGCCTTAATATATGTTTTGTGGAAGTGATCATGTCATAGTTACCCATGTAATATCTATCTATGTGTTTGTCTGGATGTCAGTCCTGTATCAGCTCCCGCCCAGATCCGTTTTCTGCCCTTGCCATTCTTAGCATGTAGAAACCATGCCCCTTGCCTTTTTGATCCAAAGAAGGGGAGAGGAAAGACTTATTCTAAGGTAGACCTATTTTATGCTTTTGTTTAAAAGCATATCTGTTTCCAGTATGCGCAATGTCTGGGAGGGATTGGTGATCTGTGAGGAGACTGAGGTGGTTGTCCCTAGTCTGGGTTCCTGTCCTTCCCTCTGCCCCAGTGGCTTCCTTCCCATTACGCAGTCATTGTAAAGGATTGGTCCCCAGGCTCATCCCGACTGCATCCTGCAGGAGCAGGACATTCCTTTGAAAGTCCTGGTCGAAGAATTTGACTTCACTGTCAACTTTGGAAGGCAGTCTAAGGGCTGTCAGGGGCGTGTGAATCTCCTGAAGGAAGTGTTTACAACTGCAGTCATGCAGTCCTCATACGGGCCCCTGGACCACCTACCCCCCTCATCCCTCTGTAAGGAAAGGCCAGCAGGTTGCTGGCAGCGTATGCTAGCCAGTTTGAAGGAAGTTGGTCTGCTCCCTGAAAGACCCAAGACCCAAGGTGAAGCCCGGAGAAAGTGCTTGGGATCCTCTGTGTTCTTGGGTGAAGGCTGTGGCTCCCAGGCCTCTCATGGCTTTCTCTCAAGCCCACTTTGCATCACACCCAGCTCCCTCTAGGCCTTTTCTTTCTGGGAGTCTTTATGTCACATTGGTCTGGCATCCAGACTTGAAGCCTCATTCTTGACGGGGGAGGGCCCCACAATGTCACATCTTAGTCTTTCTCAAGAAGAAGCCCGTAGTGCGGGCGGCAAAACTGTGGGCTGGAGTTCAGGCCTGTGCTAGCTCAGCCTTCCAAACTTCCTGACAGGTGAAGTGAGCAAGGAGGTTCTTGCCTTCAAGGATGAGGCATGATGGAATCTTTACCCCAGGTCTGAACTGATGTGTCTGGGAATTTTACAGCACTTCTGGCCAGCCTTTGATACCTGACCTCCAACTCTGTTGGCCCTCCTCCCAGCCTCGAGCCCCTTGCTATGAATGAACGGGGCCCAGATATAAGCCCAGGGTAAGCACCCCTCCTGGGGAATGTCCTGGGTACCCGCATAGGGCCTTCCCAATGAATGCATTACCTCCTCCACCAAAAACCAAGAGGCTGCGATCAAATACCGCTACTGTCACTTTAAAGACTTCTGAGGAAGCCAGCTTGCAAGTAGCAAGTGTGCTCTCCTGCCTTTGTGAAAGGCATGTTCTTGGGGGCAGGGCTACTTCTGCAAGATGGAACCCCTTCCTTCCCTCTTAGGCACCCTCCTCCTGGCAGCTCTTAAAACTAAGGAAAAATACTATATATAAATATATATATACATATCTATTTATGCATATATTTGGGGCCAATTTGATTTGCTAGTGTTAGACAATAAACCATACGAGGAAATTTATGATTTCAGTGTCTTTATTTAGTATGAAAGTGACCTTAGACAGGAGTTAAGGTTAGATGAGCAACGTCTCTGTTGGACCACACGGCTGTAGCATCCCTTGAGCATCTAGCTAGCCGATCATCCTCCCCTGGAGGAGGGGCGCCTGGATGAGGTAGGTGAGAGCTTGCTCCCTCCTCTCAGTGGCAGTCTCACCAGGTTAGGTACTAAAGAACCCGATGAGCTCTGCATTTGTATCCTGCAAGTTTGTATAACCAATGCTGGAAATAAAACAAATGGTTTGTACCTGTGGTGTGTGTGTCCCTCTCAGCATCCATCCGTGTCAGCCTGCCCTGCCCTCGGGGTCCACAGGCTACAGATTAGATGGGAAAAGGAAGTAGGGCTGAGGGGCTGGGATGGGTACAATGCCTATGACAGCTCTTCCCTGTCACCACTTTGGTTGCACTTCTCAACTTCCTTCCAGAGGAAGCAGAGTTTACCATAGAATGTTTTCAGTCTGGAGCTGGGGTGGCAGTGGGCTAACCTCATCAGTCTGGAGCTGGGGTGGCAGTGGGCTAACCTCATCAGTCTGGAGCTGGGGTGGCGGCGGGCTAACCTCATCAGTCTGGAGCTGAGAGTGGCGATGGGCTAACCTCATCAGTCTGGAGCTGGCGTGGTGGCGGGCTAAGGTGGTGGCGGGCCTAACTCATCAGGTTGAGGTTTAGGTGATGGGAGCATCAGGTGCTCCACTGGCACTTTCCTTGGTTTGCCTCTGACACGGACAGGAGGATCATAGAAGAAAAAAAATGTCCTAACCTTTCTCAATTGCACAGTGCTCTCTGACTGTTTTGGGGCGTGTGTGTGTGTGTGTGTGTGTGTGTGTGTGTGTGTGTGTGTGTGTGTGTCAGTGGGCAAGGGAGCAGAGGGACCAGAAAAAAATCCTCAGTTCTCTAGGACTTATAAGCCCTTTGGCATTTGCTGTGTGTGAAGGACTCTACTAGACTTTCTCCATTGGAAACCCTGCATGAGGAATGGCTCGAGAAGCCAAATACAGCTGGGTGTGGTGCACACCTGTGATCCCAGCACTTGGAAGCAGAGGTGGAGGATTGAAAATTCCAGGTCATCCTGGGCTACAGAGCGGTGTGGAAAGTCTTTCTGTGTGGTTAATGAATAACGAAGTTACTTGGGCCCATGTCAGGGCAGAATAGAGCAAGGTGGGAATTCCAAGCAGAGATAGAGGAGAAAATTAGACGGAGTCAGGAAGACGCCAAGTAGCTGCTGGAGGAGGCAGATGGTCCAGAACCTTTACTGGTAGGCCACAGACTCGTGGTGATACACAGATTAACAGAAATGGGGTAATGTAAGATGTAAGTGTTAGTTAATAAGAAGCCTGAGCTAATAGGCTGAACAGTGTTGTAATTAATATGGTTTCTGCATTATTATTAGTGTCCGGGCAGCCAGGAAATGAATGAGCAGTTTCCATTTACAACATAGAGAGACCCTGTCTCAAAAATAACAAACCAAACAAAAATCCATGGGGCTGGAGAGATGGCTCAGTGGTTATAAGCACTACTGTTCTTGCAGAGGACCCAGGTTCTGTTCCCAGCATCCACATGGAGCTCACAGATGTCTGTATCTCCAGTTCCAGAGAATCCAATGCCCTCTTCCTTCTAGCCTCCATGGGCATCAAGCATGCCTGCAGTGTTTGCACATACAAGTAAAAAATACACACAGTAAAATAAAAATAAATCGTAAACAAACACAATTCAGGACAGGAGTTGATAACTCCAGAGTTAAAAGCTGTTCCTCCAGAGTTAGGTTCCCAACACCCACATCAGGTGGCTCACAATGGCCTGAAACTCCACCTTCAGGGGATCCAGTGCTCTCATCTAGCCTTTGCAGGCATCATCTGTGCATGCGTGCACACACACACACACACTCACACACGCACACACACTTTAATTAAAATATTTTTTTTTAAATCCAGACTAAAAGAAAAAGGCTCTGAGGAGGCAGGTGTGCCTGGGAGACCTAGTCACTCTCTGGACCCTAAGCCCCCATCTGCAACCCTCATTAGAGTGGAGTCAGTGACAGGCACCTGCTGGGAACTATGCAGTCACTAGGTTCCACCTGTATCATTGACTCCACCAGCAAGAGTGGCCCCTCTCATGGGATGAAGATGCCTTGTAGTTGCCAGGGGCAG